TCTAAAGTTGGGGATTGGTTTAAAAAATTTGAGATAAAATGACTTTTTGGCAGGGCACGTGGTTTAAGGCTTTTTTAACAGCTTGTATTTCTTTTTTTACATGCTAAACTTGTGTGACGTCTGTCTGGTGCACCTGATTTCTTCTATTAATTGTCGATTAAGTTATTGGTCTTCTTCGACGACTTCTCTGAGAAAGCGACTATGTTCTTCCCCCAAGGCCGTCCAGAGTTGAAATGTTGACGGGTAGAGTTAGCCAGTGAGAGCTACTACTGCACTTATAGGAGTAAGTCACAAAATGGGAATTACGCAGATGGCAAAAGCTATTTAGGACATTCGATTATCTAAAAAGTGCTTTGTAAGGCCATTATATAATACGTACAAACTACGGACAATTTACTTGCCCACCGGTTTTTGTAGAAGCCTTGTTGAATATGCTGTAATATTTTTGACAACAAACATGGTTTGAGAGCATATATTCTAAAGCTGCAGTCGATAACTTCAGAAAACATAGTACAGACTCAAAAATAGCACAATCCTATAAAGATGAGAAATGACGATGGTAGACCGTTTGATCCATGACTTGGATACCCTGTATATATAAAGCTGTACTTTTGAATAAGTTATGGATGTTTCTAGTATATATACAAGAAATACATTCCGGAAAGAAAATCAACTCGTTCGACTTGTTTTATTCAACGTCGTCAGAATCGTCAGTGTTTAGATTGACTAAGCAGTTATCGGTCATTCGTAAGGAGTAAACTGATGCTATATGATAAAAGTTAAGTTACCTCTGCGATTTCAAGCGACATGTATAGCTGCATTATTGATAGGTTCAGCACCCTAAAGACTATTTTTCCGTTTTTGAGCAAAATGAACCTTGATTTAGCAGTTCTCTTATTTTTAGCACGCCCAACCAAATTGTTTTTGCAGTTGCCGGTTCACTAATGTTTTGTCGTTTGCTAGCAACCCTATCCTCACCCACGTTATTCTATCCTGAGTGTTTATTTGAAAATTTCCCACTGCGGATTTATCGAAAACCACTGATTAAAAGGAAAAACGCAGAGACATGTCAAAAGATTTGTCAAGAGGGAGAACTTTTTAGCAAACAATTACTTCACTCCCTTTCATCCTCTGCCTCCCAGGGTCATCCCCTTAAAATTTTAAAACGACAAGGGGTATCGAGTAATAACTTGTTTGAAAGTTCCTTCGAAGTCCTTTATTTTGACGTCTGATTTATTAAAATCAGTCTATTCGTTTTCGAGAAAATTAGAAAAATCTTTATTTATCTTAATTTGTTCACATAGAAAACAAAAACACACGAATATATCACTTTTTATCTCAAAAAGTAAGTGTTCAAAATGTTGCTCGTTAGGGTTTGCCAAATCTACAATTCGTTTATAATTTAAAACGGAAACTACCAACATAAACAGCAACTCGGAAGATTAGACGTGGCAATAACCAAATAACCCGAATTTTTTTCCGCATTCTTTTCATCTACACAGATATCCTGGACGAACTGTATTTATGTTATACCTGTTTAGTTATTTGTTGCTAAGGGAGAGAAAGAGTTTAGTTTGCTGTCAGTTACCTTTGTGACAATCTTGGGATAGTGAAAATTAATTTATTGATTCAGATTTTACTTCCAAAATGCTTTACACACTAGCCAAAAGAGTGGAAATGATTCTAATTTGTGGTGCCCAAAATCAATGTGCTTGGCAAATTGCCTACACGTTCAACGCCAGACATCCGGGGAAGATAATTTCGCATAGGTATGTTTTGGACCTTGTTGCTAAATTTACTAAAACTGGATCTATTGCAAATAAAAAACGTGATTAACGGAGAGTTTTGGATGAAGCCGCTCAAGTTGAGGGTCATTTTGGAGTAAATTCTAATACTTCATTACGCAAAATTGTTGCTGCGACTGGTATTTCATTAGACTCTAAGCTCTATAAATTTCATCCATTCAAAATGAAAATATTGCAGGAGTTGAGTTTTGTGAACAAATGACTGCAGCGATTGATGATAATACTATTCATGTAAAGAATATCAGCTTCAGTGATAAATGCACATTTTATCTAAATGGATTTGTTAATAAGCATAACTGCAGGTATTGGAGTAATGAAAATCCTCATGCTTTTGTAGAAGGGCATACCCAGTACCTCCAAAAAATTAATTTTTGGGTAGGCATTTTAGGAAACAAAGTGATTGGGCCATTGTTTATCAATGGCAATTTGAATGGAGACATGAATTTTGATATGTTGGAAAATACCATCAATCCGTTTATCACTGAAACCATTCCAAGTCAAATCGAAGAGGATGGAAATGGTGAGGCTGAAATATATTTTCAGCAAGACGGCGCTCCTCCTGACTATGTTTGTCCGGTTCGGCAATGGCTAGACGACGAGTTTCCAGATAAACGGATAGGGCGAACAGGCCCTATAGAATGACCTGCTAGATCTCCTGATTAGACGCCATTAGACTGTTTTCTATGGGATCATTTGAAAACTATTGTGTATTCCCGACCCTGAAAGTTTAGACGAACTTCGTGAACGCATCATCGAAAGCTGCCATGATATCCCACAACATGTTTTTGAAAATATCCGTCAGGAATTTGCACATCCCAAATATCATTGTTTGGTCAATACAAACACTTATTGAAATAAAAAGTGATATTTTCGTGTGTTTTTGTTTTCTATCTGACCAAATTAAGATAAATAAAGGTTTTTCTAATTTCCTTGAAAACGAATCGACCGATTTAAAAAATCGAACGTCAAAATAATGGACCTCGAAAGACCTTTCAAACAAGCTGTTACCCGATACCCGTTGTCACTTAAAATTTTTAAGGGGATGACCCTGGAGGGCAGAAAATGTAAGGGAGTGAAGTAGTTTTTTGTTAAGAAGTTGTCCCCCTTGAGAAATCTTTTGATGTGTCTCGGCGTTTTTTTTTATTTAGTGGTTTTCGATAAATCCGAGGTGGGAAGTTTTAAAATGAACACCGTGTATATACATTATCTTCACCATTGTACACGTTGTATATGGTACGTATTGTTTACATTGTATAGGCAAAGATTATTTTCGCATTGTCTACATCGAGACGTAGACAATTAAAGCATACGCGTAAACGGCGATCTCTGCGTCTATCCGCTGAGGGATATTAGATTTGCTGCATAACCGCCTGGTCTGAAACCTAGTATACGACGGGCTGCCTAGTCTAATGGAGGATTTACAAGAGAAGGCGGATCACTGGTTGATTGAAATTACCATTTGAAAACGCAATCACGTATTGTACGTGACGCTCTTGAGATTACAGTGAATCAATTTCGTTTACCCATGGGAACGTAAAGTATCTTATTCTAAATTATATTTTGGCAGATCTCCCCATTATTATGTAGATGTTGAGAATTAAGCTCGATTACCAAGATTTGGCTTATAAGATGAACAGGAATTAATTACGCTTGTTCAGCTAGGTGTTTTATTATAAAAACGTACTATATATGCAAAACCTTCAGACTCAGCAAAGCACGACGTTGCGCACCATTATTAACGCCACATGGTATGCCTCTAACAAAACCGTTCACAGCGATCTCAGTATCTCTTACCTACGGAACAACACTACAACGAACACCAGGCGCAGCGATGCTATAGTCAAGCTCAGTCTCATAGCTTTCTTTGCCCTGCAAGTCAGTGGACTACTCCGTCCAACATGTCCTCAAGCACCGTAGGTTGCATTGCGATCAAAATTAATGAAATAAGAACATTCAAAATTAGATTACTTCTATGAAACTATAACAGAGACTAAATCTTCCTAGACCGTATCAGGTTTCGTTTATCTAATCGCTTCCTGATCTAAAAGTTTATCTTCTTTCTCTATGCTCTCTCTTCCTTCTTTCTTGGTTACCAGATCCAGAAAACTTGCGAACTGATATCATGACACAAGAGTTAAGGTCCTATGGACTGTTTTGACTTACAACATAAGCTCTTTGAACTACGTCTAAGCATCATATTATTCGAAATCGCAAGCTTTTATTTATCCAGTATAAAATTTGTATGCGACACCAAAATTTTTTTGAAAAACAATATTCAACAGTCAATTCTTACTAATTTTATAATTTTAACATTCTCTAATTTGTGTTTAGAACACTGACCTCGAATATAATAGTAGCAAGGTATAACAATAATAAATTCAACAAGTGTCTTTTGAGTATTTTTTAAATATTTCTTCAGACAGGGTTATTTAATACTGAATCATTTCTAGTGATTACCTGGTACAAATTGTTCTGCGATCTTGTTTCAGTCATGCACATCATATGCGATCGAAATTTTTGTATTAGACTTATAAAACAAGGGGGTAGAGCTCTATCATACTCAGTTTCAGCGCACGATCCCCAAATACGTAACATATACCTAAACTGCCAAAAAAATGCAGTAAAAACATTTAGCCAATTTTCAGAGATATGTAGTTTCTACCTCGGTACAAACAAGCTATCACCGACGTTGTTTCAGCAACATTTTTTTTAGTGTAACTAGACTAGTTCAAATTCTCATCTACATTTAACCGGCGATATTTGATGCTGGACAATAACTTTCTCTAAATTAGGTTATGTATTTTCATATAAAAGTTTTCAATCTATTCTTTCGATTAAAAGCTAGGTATTTTGTTTTATCGACGTTATGTTGATAAGACAAGATCTAAATTAACTTCATCACACAGAGCTTGCTCACTATTTTCTTTATAGAGAAGAACTCTGTCGACAGCAAAAGTAAGATACCTTCCTCTTTAGATTTTGAAGTATAATAGAGGCTCCAAGACTGGCTCCTGGGGACATCATAGTCACTAGATAACCACTCAATATTCGTTTTAGCAATTTTCTCATATTGGTGAACAATGGACATGCGTTTGTGTATAAAATCCCTGGTTACATTCAGAATTTTCTAGTACCTTAATTCATTTCAGCTTAAAACTGTATCTTCCAACACTGACAATTACCATTTCTTTGCAGGTGAAAAGAAACGCAAGCGCACCAGCATAGCGGCGCCCGAGAAGCGCAGCCTGGAGGCTTACTTCGCAGTGCAACCGCGTCCTTCAGGCGAGAAAATCGCCGCTATCGCCGAGAAGCTGGACCTGAAGAAGAACGTGGTGCGCGTCTGGTTCTGCAACCAGCGCCAGAAGCAGAAACGCATGAAGTTTGCGGCGCAACACTGACCGGATGTTAACTTCGGGTTCCCCGTCAACTAGCACCCAATGTAAATACGTTTCTCGTACTGTATTATTATTGTCCTGTGTTAGTCCAGCTGTTGATTCGCGGATCATTAGAAGTGTGATATACAGCGTCAGTGAAGTGACAATTAACTACGTATATTAAACTCAATGTCATTGTGGCAGTAACGCTACAAAGCATTTAGTTTTGAGGAACAAACTGGGTGCTGATAAACAACGTGGCCAAACACAAGAGGTGATAAGAAAGACACTTCATATGAACGTGCGAAATTTTTTTGTGGTATCTATCTTTTGTTAATATACTTATAGCAAAGTTTCAGTACGTTTAAGTTTGTTACTTTGTATCTTGGAAACGAATCATTACCAGACCTATTATAATATACTTTTTTCTTAGAATCACCTGAGATATGGACCTCAAAGTTTGGCTGGGTACTTTATTAATACCCTGTATTGTTACGATTGATCCAGTTGGCGTCGCCTGTCGATAAAGCCATGATTTCTGATTAACGTATTCAACAAAGCGTAAGTCAAATAATATTATATGTCGAACAAGTGTATGAGAATTACCTAATGCGAATATTGGAAATTGCTCTGAGGGTACTTGTCCGCGCGTCATGGAAACATATCGTTGACTTGTTCTCTGCTCGGTGTTTGAAACGAGATCCATATATGCTTGAATATTAGATGGTAATGTTTTCGTAGAAGACCGAAGTTTCGCCGAAATAGATTCTTCAGTTGTACGACAGTGTTTCACGAACTCGTTAGCCTGTCAAGTAATATCCTTTACACAAGAATATCTTAATAGTTGCACATGAATGAAGTTATGGCAAGCGACTGTGTCTATTCGCAGTGAAAAGTATTTTATTGAGTTTCCGCAGTAAATTCAAACGAATAGGCATCAAGGTGTATCTTTCCACAACGTTTTGAAAACTATGCTGGGTGTACTTTTTATGATAGTTGCAATGCGTACAGTGAAACGGTATCCCAACCAGTGAAAACTGTGCTCAATAATGAGAATCCCAACGACAAAACATAAAGCATGCACTATTTTCCAACAAAAAAAAATGCTTGTATGGCAAGGACATGTCCACACCTTTGCAGTAACCACTGATTACGCATATTTTTTATTTCAGATGTTGCGCACTGCTACCGAGTATCCTATTCGAATGAGTTTTTCCAACAGAAAATCCACATACCTTTTATGACTTCTATCTTCCAGTGTTTTGTTTTTCGGGGCTACTTTTACTTTGAGCTTGCCGATCCACCTTTTCCATGTGGAATCCTTATGGGCGATATTTTGTGTTCATTTAAGAGCTATTGCAGCAATAACAGTCTCAGTTAGTGCAATTGCTTTTGTGAGAAGTGCCAGTTATATTGATATTTGCCCAATATGCTGTTGCAAACTCACCCATCTACCTAAATATTCGCAATGGATGGTTGTTTACCAATGCCAGCAATCCTATTTTTTAATTTAAATGGTGATGCAAAAAGAGTGATTACTGATTTTTCCATTGAAAACCATCATAAAATTTTTCCACGGAAAAAGGTCTCCCATTTTTTCACTAACTTTTTTGCAGAGTGGCGTTGCATTTTCCATATTTTCGAATACGCACACAGAGAGGGGTGATTGCCATTAAATCTACTTCTTTTTTTGTTACCGAATTTACGAAGAGCGTTTTACCGCGCTGTAAAATCAAGTGAACTATGATGCATGGCAAACAAAAAAACGGCCATTTATTTAGGCAGAAATGACAACTTTAATCCATTCGGTGAGCCTGCATTTTTTAACGTTTTTTTCCATAGACGGGGGTCTATTTAGATGAAGGCAGACATTTGCAAAGATTGCAGGCGTCTTAATTTCGAAAAACAATAAATACTCATATGACCTTATCTTGTTCATTTTTTGGTTTCGCTATAGGGAAAGTTAGATACCCGAGGAACAATACTCACTGAGCTAGAAATTCCGATTAATCTAGCTGTTTGACAAAAGGCAAACTTTGGAATATTGGCTTTCCCAGATGTTATCTGTAAGAATTTTATATCTGGTAAAATGATGACAAGTAAACCCTCTAATATTGGAATGAAGGACTGGAATGAGTAGTTGAATTCTTACTTGCCTGGGGTTGTAGGAAAGACTTATGAAGAAAGTAACATTCAGTGTAAATCAAGCGCAGAGAGAGGGAAGAAAGAGTGAAGCATATTGCTTTCGACTGTCCTATCGTGATCAATAGAAGAATCGCCTAATTGCCTAGCTCATTAGGAATTTGGAATTAGAGTCTCACGAGTGAATGGTAACTATTAGGGAGCGAATCTCTAGACCACCTTATTTGGAACTTGGAAAGATTTTACAGCTTCTCTTGGGCCGAACGGCTCGGTAGATTCCCTCTACTAGCCTCTTCTACCCGAAGTGTTAGAACCCTAGGTCATTCGCACACATCCCGCTATGGAAGTGAATAGAGCATTTTGTCATATTAAGTAGCGACGCGCTAAAATCTATACCAAAAATATTTGTAACTTCCCATTGCCTCCCGTCACATATACACTCGCTTGTAGGTACAACTCCAGAAGGCAGGAGCGCCATTGTTTGTTTTTCTGTCTGTGCCATACACCTTGCTTAGCTCATTTTCCTCACTTTAAGTTGAATTTCAACCCATTTATCCTTGATCACTAGAGCCTTTCGATTAAAATCAGATCTTGTGTTATCTGGAAATCAACTCATCTACAACATTCAAGTATATGCCCAGAATCATCCTCGTAGTTCGCCTATTTTCTTTTTTCTGTCAGCCTTAGGTAGGTTCCAAGGCATCCATGTCTATAATATGAACTCTAGCATTTTGCTACTAAAATACTCATATATTTGCATTCAGATGCATTAACGCCGTCTATGGTTCATACGAGTATTTGCAGCAGGAAAAAAATAATGGCTATATACGCCTTTCAAATAGCACATAATTCGAACATCGGCAAAAATACCCGAACGTAAAAAAGGCAATCTACTACATCATCAAACATTCAAGTGTTTTGATGAAAAAATGTTCCACTGCTCATAACAGACCAGTAATTAAAGTGTATATGCATATTACGGATTCCAAGAATTACTCTAGAAACTTGCAAAATACATACGTTTGACTGTTTCAGTAAAATGCCTCCTCACGATCATGTGTAAATCATTTGATACGTTACCTCATTTTGAAAGAAAAAAACGAGGTACGCGGCATACATACTGTCAACCTTATTATAAATACAAGTACAACGCTTAATATAAAATGGGAACATTATCGACAGAGACAGCCAAGTTTGTAAATATTTCTAGTCAGTTACAAACTAAATCTAGTCGTAAAAGTGGTAATCGAATATTAAGTGATTCTACTAGCACAGTATTAAAGAAATTAAAGCAGTATTTGGGATCCAAGTGATATATTCTATTTGTATAAATTTTAAAACAAAAGTGCAATATATTTTAGGCAATATCTGGATTCTTTGTAAATATTTTTGTTGTAGAGATATCATTCCAGTGTAAGCAATAATAGATTTAACGTTAAGAGAATAAAGTTTGAGGGAGCAAGTATAGCTGACATTGTTTTAAATCTACCGTATGATGAAATAGGTAAAACACAGTGACGATTTTGAACTAACGAGATGTAAATTCAGTATAAAGTAAGCAATTATTCCATGGTTACCCATATCTATGCTAAATACGAGAAATTTTATTAGATAAACTAAGCTGCTTCTGGATCAAAGTTAATAAGTTCACTCTAAACGGGCCTGTATGTCATTAATCTCTACGTAAATTACTTTTAAATGGTAAAAACCATTGATTCGATACATTTTCTTGCTTTTACTGTTATCTTTCTATTGGTCATTGTTATCATATAACCAGAAACAATCCATTCGAGGGCAGAGTTGATGATTACATGAAGTTTTATATTTGTAGGGGCTGCAAGATACTACACCCCATTCGTAGCCCATTTACGCTCAGACAAAACACAACATGCCCAGAAGTGAGACTGTGCAGGTCCATATTATCCTCAATAGTCTTGGAATAATATAACAAAATAATTGATTATTTTTATAGAAAGAAGTGCACATACTTTTAATAGTTCTTTATTTGCTGGAAGTACTTGAATCATCGTCCGAATAGTTAATATTAATTATTACAGGTTCAATTTGAATATCGTTCATATTGTCCAGATCCCACATCTTTGTTTCGATTACCTCTTGAACGTGACGAATGCAATCTTTCCAATGGTTTGCTGTCACTCTGTTGACAGCTCCATAAAACAAATTTTTCACGTCAGAAAATTTGAATGTTCTATTGTTTGAAGATACATAGCTTTTTACATTTGCCCATAACATTTCAATGGGATTTAATTCGCAGTGATAGGGAGGTAGCCTTATTTTGGTTTTTAGTCATTTCGTCAATGACATTAAGATTATATTCATATTTGTGCTGCCTGACTTGATAGATAAGTTCTGTTTTGACCATATTTTCATTGAAACTAATGTCTTTTGATAGGAGCTAGTGTTGAATTTCTGCCTTTCTTGTGGACATTGTGGGAATTTTTTCTAGTTTTCTAGTGCAGCATTATCAAGTACAATGACGGCATTGTCGTCAAGCTTTAGGACTGTTTCTTCAAGTCATCGGTCAAATGAGCTCCCGTCCATTTCTTGATAGTGGTCAGTAGTTTTCTTTGACTCAAATGCTCATAGGGCAGTGGGCACAAAGCCAACTAACTTCGCTGCCTAATCTTACAGATAACAAATCGTTTTCCTTTTTCTGGAAATAATTATTTCATATAGTATTCAAGAAAACTAAAATAATAATACAAATAGAGTATCTAACAGGGGTCTGTTCCAAATCTACCAGATATAGCTAAGTTTAGTGTAGCTAAGTTTTCGGCGTGGGCTCAGATTCAGTCTGCTTGACATTTTTACAAAACAAATGACGAATTGGTTAGATTCACGTACCTGACGGATTCTTTAGGAAAGTGGTTAGTAAATCTAAGAAGGCTTGTCTAGCTGATTTAATTGAAGAGTCGGCCCATACTTTAGGTTTTGCATTTATCCAGGTTTCATCCAAGTAATAAATCTTCATGCCCTGGTGGCGGCATTTCTTTATTGATTTTATATAATTCCTTCTCCATAAAATAAATCTCTTGGATGTCCATCAAAATACTATTTCTGCCCCGTTTTCTATACTTAAAATGAAGTTCGTTGAGTAAACTATTGAATTTGGTCATTTTAAAAGTATTATCACTATTAACCTCTTGTAATACTTTGTCTATGGTGGGAAGTTCCTGCCTTCAACAATGTTGAAAACTTTCGCTCTTATAAACGTTAAGGACAATTTGTTTTACCTGAATGTTTAAATGTCTCTTCTTGTTACGTTTTCGGGTAGGAGACATTATTGAAGAGGAAGCATGACTGAAGGAAGCATTGGGAGAAATATTCTCAGTTTCATCTGTTGTATCCGTAGACGACATGCTAATGTATAAACACAAGCTATGTATGCACCGACAATGAAGAGCCACTGCCGGCATCGGCGTGCCGGCGCTACCCCGAGCCTGAGTTCTATCCTGTCGAATCCTGAATTTGTTCGTAATTTAATGGCCGGATGACCATTAGCTACTGCAACGCTTAGTCGGCTGCCGCTCTGTCGCGCTGCATCTTTGTTGTGCCGGGGTGTAAATGGACTACGAATAGAGTATAGCCTATAACTGCGAGTTGATTAACTTCAGTGAAACAAACAAATAAATGATAACTAACACTTAATCTACAAGCTTCAGAAGCAAGTGAAGTTTCAATATCGATCACCAATTTAATGTTAGCATGCGATCCAGAATCATAGTTTTGACTGGTCCTAGTGTGCAATGGACACAAAATCAAGTTTGATATAAGCACTTTACTTATTAGGGCAAATCATTAAGAAGCAAATCCTTACAAATATGGCCAATATTTCTCAGTAAACAATAAAAATAATGAAGCAGCGGATAATCACCTTTTTTCTTAGATGATAGTGATTCGATCTACAAAAAAATTGCGCCGATTTGGATAACCTTGATAAATGCTTACTAAACATTTAATATTTTCATATGTTTGGATTTTCATTTATAGAAGGGTATATTGATTATGCCCCATCTTAATAGATCACAATCTTTAATTTGACGACTTCACTATCTATTGAGCAATACATCATAGAGTGATGGTATTGTCAGCGAAAATAAGAGCAGTTGTATAGTCGATGAATCCATATCATTTGATAAGTATCTTTTGTATATGTAGTTTTTCAGGTTCAGGCTCATGCTCGATGGCAATATGATCATTCAGACAAGACGGAAAAATTGCTTCCTTACCATAAAATTAAGCTCATCTCTTATAAGCTCATGAATCCTTTTCACAGGGTAATAAACATATCACAGTTATTACAGAGCATATCTGTTAAAGAGGTTGTCTCAAAATTGCAATATCAACATTAATTTTTACTGTGATTTAGCTAATTTTCGCAAGCCTACCGAAACTTGTAAAATTTATGTGTACGAGTAAACATGACCTGCAGACTATCTTTATTCTTCTTCTATCTCATGAAGGATTATGGATGATATAAAATACAAAACGATTAAGAATAGCTTAGACGTGATATATAGAAGGTATCTATCCCTAACGATTACTAAATCGTTATAGGTAGTGTTGAGGCATGATGTTTCAGGTTACCGTTGTTATCAACATGAATAAAATGGTGGAGCTAGTCGTCAGCAAATTCTTCTGAAAAATATCTATGTAGCAATGGAAGAGCTTGGACGATATTACAAAAGCATGTTTACTTCGTGATGTTCACAAATCAGATTTACTAGCCTAGTTACTACTAACAATTAATTTTCTTTGAAGCAACCTCTATAAATATGTAAATAAATTAGTATAAATATAGTAAATTCGTCTTTCTGGTACGTGTACAACTTTTTACTATAACATTTTGCCATGAATTGAGCAGCATATCAGACACATCTATTTATTTCTGCAATGCTAGATATAAATACTCCTTTTCTTCGAAATAATAACTACCTTTGGCAAAGATTTCCACAATAAAAAAAAATAATATACTTAAAAATACCATTTTAAATCCGTGAGTATTAATGAAATCATATTGGCTACCAACAAGATCATCGAAAGATACACACAAGTTTTGGAAGACTTGCCTTTTGAATGAAAAATCGATTGTTACCCTTGTGTAAAATAAACTGGCAATTTGGAACATTTTAGCAGTTTTTTGTTCTTTGTAATCTGCTGGACGACGATGAATAGTGTACATTTGTAAATATTTGGTTTTACGAGTCACAATTTGTTTTGTACTGGATAATGCATTGTGCAATAGCTATCATGGAATTTTATAGTAAATTGTCAATTGTAAGAGGAATACGAATAAGTTCCAATAATTCATTATTGTATATAGATAAATGCGTAAGTACCTTTACAATGTTAGAATTACGTCAAAGACAAATGCAGGTTTCGAAGTCAACTGATCAGTAAGTGCAAGTTCACGCAGTTACGTATTCGCTTCCTGTTTTCAATTTTTTCTTTCCTCTTATATAATCTTTAATGTAGTAGCGCTACATTTTCCCGCAAACGTACTTTTTTATAACTATACTATAAATAATTTTATGGTTAACTCATGTAATAAAGGTACAGTAAATAAATAGCATTATTATTTTCGCTTGTACGTTTCATTCTACTCCCCAGTTACCATACTTAGACTGTATTCGAATAACTTGACGTCATGCTATTTTGACTCCTACTTTAGAAGAGCCTGCTGGGTCAGCCGAAACGATATAATATATCATTTGATGTACTGGTAAAATCAATATATAGATTAATTTAACCTCAAGGTAAGTTACACATGTTTCTGTTTTGAGTATCCAAGAAATCCAGCATGGTTCTAAAATTGTTTTAGATCGTTTGTCTATAATACTCTCCCAGCTAGAACCTACTTCTGATGGTACTTTGGTATCGAGTTAACTGCAACTTAACTGATAACCAGGAGCTAACTCTCAAAGAGAATTTTTCAATATTAATCCGCACCTAAGGTGCTCGACAAATTGTCCCGGATGACACGAGACACAAATACAGAACATTACAAAATGCATACAATACGATTAATCAGGTATAAAGGTTTTTCTGTCAAAGCATCTAGACTTGACAGGTCCTGAATAATAGTAGTCACTAGGCGAAGCGCTCATGGCACTCAATTGAAATACAGTTTGCAGCATATCCTGGAACCATTCTTTGATAGTGGCCTATTCCACGATCATGTTTTTATGGGGCAATCCCGATATATTAATCTGATCGTTTTTCGCTTTATATGACAGTCTTTTCTAACATATGATTCCTTTTTAACACGCTTTTATAAGCTTGGCTTGTATGTATTTATGTGTGTATACATGTATGTATGTAATGGAATCTTTGAGCATAATTTTCACCAATTTACCGAAGTTTAGAGATTGAGCTAGCGCGCGACCTGCGCATGCGTGTAGTTTCGGACTGACTCTTTGTTGGCTCGGGCACTCGGCACAGCACAATGGAGGCAGATACTTTTTCAAGGTAGTGCATTCTCACCTTGCTCATTCCTTATACATGCATAGGTACTAAACCGATATCGATTCAGGTCCCACCGAAATACAGCTATGGAACTGCGGAGAGACGAATGTTGCCATTAATCCTGAGTTGGGCTTCGACCGCCCATAAGATGCATGGTTGTACAGTCGATCATGTAGTCATTTATCTAGGCTCGCGACTGTTTGCTGCTCGACAAGCTTATGTAGCACTTAGTCGTGTAAGATCTTTAGACGGCATTTGGATTGAACAACTAGATTGCTCTAAGTTAACAGGAAAAACCCAAGCAACAGTTAAGCTTTAAATGAAATGATTAGATTAAGTTATTTCAGTACCACATGTACATAAAAAACTAATTGATAAATCGAACTAAAAAAATAAAAAATGTAAGTAATAATTTAAAAAAACTAAAAAGCACGCTTTTATAGCTAACCGAACTAAGAACTAGGAAACAATTTTTAATTACAAAGAGTTCATATTACAGTAGTATATGGTCGAACAATCTATCATAATTAATGACCTTAAAATAAAATTCAAGTTATTAACACAATAATTCAATTCAGAGTAACAGGCGTAAGCTGCTAGATATATTAAATGTTACAATCATTCTATTGGCAACTATATATGAGTGGAGAGTTATGAAAATGTGGTAAAATGCATCCCACGCTTTTTAGTCTGAAATAAATTATTCTGTTAATAACTTAAATTTTATTTCAATTTTATTTTGAGGTCATTAATTACGATTGATTGTTCAACCATTTACTACTGTAATATAAACTCTGTAATTAAAAATTATTTTCTACCTTTTAGTCCGGTTAGCTATGAAACGGTGTTTTTTTTGGTTGGCTTTAAACTATTATTTATTGTAATCTGAATCATGTAAACTCGGTATAGATATATGCGGTTACATACGGTTATGTGAACATGATTAATAGCGCCTTCGACAAGTGTGAGAAAACCCTGGAAAGACTACAGCGGACCACTGTTTATACGTATCAGAAAAAAAGGGTGAGTTATATAGTCCAGCAATAAGGGCTCCGAGGATGTTTCAGTTACTTTTGATGATGTTATTTTCTATGACTTGTGCATTATAGTAATAACAATCGTCCTAATTATTAATAAAAATGCTCTATAACGAAACCTTGAATGAAAGCCACACCATAGATTTTTATCATTCAAAGGCAAACTGTTACACCATATAGCGTATAGTACTTTAGACATATTTGACCTAAATTGGTTGTCGTTATGAAAATGTCTGCGCTTAACGTTAGTACAGCGTTAAAGCTACGGAATTATTTTTGACAGATTTGGTTAGACGCCTTCGCTTTACGCAGCTGCGACAAATTTCGAAAATGAGATATTGTGTTTTTTGGATGTTATAAGTATGATATGTATATCACGAAACAACATGTTTCTCATTTGCATCGGTCTGTTGGTCTGTCTATCTAATTCTTGGCCCATCAATAACTTGAAAATTCGGATTTTGATGAAAAAGCTTTGTAGGTTTTAAAAATTGGTCTCGCCGCTGATACTTCTTTCTTTTGACGTTTCAGAAAATTCTTTTCAGAAAAAATTTTGGAAGGGTTGAAATTCGAGGTTTGGAGGTTGTAGGAGGTGGAGGAGGATATATGAAAATTTTCTGATCCTAGTATGTTTGTGCGCTCCAGACCCTTGATAATTCTGTGCACCCATTCGTCATATTTTACACATTTGCCAAAGTGAGAGACATTTTTTCGATCCGCGTATCCCTTCTTTCTAAGCTCGTCGCCCGGCAAACCAGTCTGGCTGACTAATCTGTTGGTACTGCAGCGAAAAAAACATATACACGGACCAAACACGAAATGAACGATAACTATGCAGCGATACCGCGAAGAGCGCTGCCGACCAGATTGGAAAGATAATGCTGCTGCCTATCACAGTTACTACCGGTAGGACCGGGAAAAAATGGACTAACTGTATGAGCCTATTAGACTGACAATTTCTTTGTTGCACATGATCGTAGCTGCCTTTTCTCTCACAGAATTTAAGTTGCTCTGAGCTTAATCCTGTATGAACTGATAACGGGGTTGCGTAAGAAGTGCAGAGTCAACCTACTCGACTCCATTTTTTAAATTCATCTCACGTTCGTCTGAATGAAACGGTTGCACCCATCTCTAAATCCATTAATAAAACAGGAGAAACATTCTCAGGAATGTTGATTAAAGATACTGCTTTCGTTCGTCCACTCAACTACATACAGCGCTGTTTCACACTTATTAGCAATCATCGGTCCGGATAGGTAGGACAAATGAACGGAAGCCGAATAAAATAACTTCTATTAGAGGTACTGATTACCAGAATCGACCATTGCGAGAGTGGTGACAGAGATGTTATATTAAAAGTTCGTCGAACACAAATCCTTTTTATACCCCACTTTTTTAAAGTAAAGGTACATGTTCAATTTTCAACGTTCACTAAACAAAAGAGAACGATCTATTAATCGATAGATAACAAATGAATAAGAATTACCGGATTACCGCTAATTAGTTGTGGCAGTGGTTGCTGAATCTTAACATATGTAATTATACTTTCTCGCTTTGCAACGGTGCCTTAAAAGCCACGCGCAGCTGCGGCCTCCTTTCTTTTTAATTTTTTTATATAAGTTGATTTTTAGTGATACTGTGATTGATAAAAATTGTTAGACATATCATTTGTAAAAGTAAATAAATATTTTCAAAAGTACGACATCAACAAAAAAAATCTTTTTACTTGAATTTATTTTGCGTGTGGCTCCAACCTTTCGATCCTCGTAACTCCTCGTTACTAGGCAGCCAAGACTACCCTCCTCATCTTGGTAATAGCCTAGTAAAAAAAGACATTTGTATAGATATTAATTCGACAAAGTCACCCAGTCGACTGTCCTATAGAAAAGCACCATAAAACCCTCGACACAAGTGGAATTAGACGGCGCGGCGGCAGTTGTTATACATAGAAGGGGTTGATGCGATGTACGCACGCATGCTGATTTATCCATCAACGTGGAGTGTATCCGAACCCCGAGCCGACCCTACCGTTATTTGAGGGATAAGATTTTCCAGTCAATTTTACAATGAATGCCCCGCGCCCAACGGATTATCCTTCAATTTAAAATCCTCTGTTTGACAGTTGATGCGTGGTGGTACTTGAAACTTTGCCATTGTGGACGGATATGCTGATGGGGTGCAGGGGACACGCCTTTGTTTGTAGCTATTATTAGTGGACGTCGGAGATGATGTGATCAGATAGTTGGATTACGTGTCAATCAATACGGAATGTGTACCATTACCACTTATACACTTTAAGGTGTTGCACTTAAATTTGCACTAAGCTTCGAAAATACGTGTCTAACAAAAAATGTTTAACAGGTCAATAGCTATTTTATTATTATTATAATAATAGCAATAATAACAATAATGCCTTTATTATCCTGATTACAGCATAATATAACACAAGTATATGCACTTGTGTGCTATTATGCGTTAATAAAACAAAAGGAGTAATTATAATATATTAACATAATACCGTCAACACAGATACAGATAATTAACACAGAAACAATAATTCAAAATTAATTTAATTACCTCTGTGCTATTCTGATAAACTCATTGATGAATATGGAATCACAGTAATACCAACTTACCCCACAACATCAGAATAATCAAAATATCCATGGAGCAATTTATATAAAAACAACGCCGCCGTAAAGTGCTTCTATGCTAGGTATTTCAAATCTACTTCATAATACATAATTACTGATTTCCATTTCGGGTAAGATGCCGTCAACTTTAAACGAGAGAAATTTAAGAAATTTGAAACTCATTCAACACAAATCTTCTACACCTCATAATATGCATGCCATATAGTGCTGGCATATTCAAGTTCCGATCTAATTTAAGTAAAGTATTTTAATAGTGCTGATATTGCCAAAGCTCCTACAATTTCTCATCAAACACCCGATTGCTCTTCATTCTTCAGATACAGATTTCTCAATATGTTTAGGAAAAGATAACTTGCTATCTCTGTACATCTAATCAGATTCTTTCCGACAATATTATATCTAAAATCTAAAAATT